CCAAGGATGAAGAATCCAAGAAATTTAAAAGCCACAACATCGAATTCGACTTCTACATCCTTATAAAAATCAAAGAAGCCATGGTGGATGTTTCCTCCAATTGCATGGAACTAGCACTAAAGGTTACACAACAATCACAAACCAACTCACTATTTATTTTGATGATTCCTTAGGATCATTTAGTATGACATTGACTTTATGTATATTTGCATGAACTGAGTGCAGGAGAGGCGAAATGATGCTGCTAGCAGAGATTCAGGATCGAACCTTATTAATGGAAAAAGAAAAGAACATGGCAAGTTGCTTTGGAGGGCTTTCCAATTCGCATTTCGAGTCTACACATTTGCCGGTGGACATGATGATCGTGCTGACATACTGACAAGAGAATTGGCTAAGGAAATCCAGAGTGATCCGAACCAGCCATAACCTTTCACAATTAGCTTATGCTTCATGCTACAATCATCATTTTTTGTAATGGACAACTTAGACGTAGCTCCGTAGATGTCTTCGTGTTATTCTCTTACCAAAATCACAGTTTCACTTCTGTGATGCAGACGGATATTTATTAAAATTTACCATTAGATAAAAAAAGTATGAACTTTAAAATAAGAGGACCGAATTTTATTTATTTTAAAACCAGAAGACGAGAATTACGTACGAGTTGAGTAAACCGGAATAATTCTTTTTATCAGAAAACTTCACACATAAATTTTTTATATTATTATCCTCTTTTACTTTTTACTTTTTTTATCTATAAAAATATAAAATTTATTTTTTATGATATTTTACTGCATGTCAAATTAATATAAACGAGTTTCACTTTATTATTATTATTTTAATATGGCTATTTAATTATTTGTAAATTCTCTTACCTTCTTTCTTTCTTTCTTTTTTATCAGGAAAACTAAATCATTGTTTGATTAAAAGAAAACAAAAAAAGAAAAGGTTTTTATGTTAGATTAAACTTAATTAGTTATATCAATATCACTTAACCTATCACACTTTTGCTTTTTCTAACTTTCCGTATCTTTTATTGTTGTAAAAAAATTATACAAAATTATCGTATAAAAATCTCATTTAAAAATGCACCACCATTGATACGATATTTATTTTGAAAACTAGTTATATTTATCATTTGATAAAAAAAGGAATTAGTCCAAATTAAGCTTTAAAAATTGAATTTTTAATATGAATACTTTATAATCATTATTATTACCTAAAAGGTTTATATATGTTTCGTACTCCCTGGCCCAATTAATAACTGTTGTACTTTCTGAAGGCAGTGAAGTACATGTGTACTGCAGAGTGGGAGTTTTGCCATATATATGTTGTAGTAGCATTTCACTCCAACAAACAACCTCAATTTTTTTTTTTTGTGTGGCAGTTTACCTCACGTTACTACATTTTCTCCTATCCTTGAGAACATGGGTAACTTCTATTTTCTGGGTGTTCCAGCTTTCTTCTCAAGCTTTATCTCAAAATCCTAAAACATTGTCTGTTTCACTCCAACAAACAGCCTCAATTGTTTGATGAGGAAAGAGAAAAGGGTTTTTTGGGAAAGGCAGGAGAAATAGAAGGTTCCCATGTTCTCACGGTTAGCAGAAAACGGGATGTTCTACCTACCGTTACTGTCTGGATAACGCTACCGATGGAAGATTCAAAGATTAATACCGACGTGCAAAAACAAAAAGCTTACGGGCCTTCGCTAGTTGGGCTCTCATCAACAAAGGATGTTGCTCCTCCACCACCGCAACTTTCTCTCTCCATCTCTCATTTACTATTTTGTCCCTAAATAAAATTTTACTTTTTGAATTATTATTTTTTAAGTTTATCCATTCACAACCTATTCCACTGATAACCTATTCTAGTCCTTTCATTTTAACATTATATTTCTTGCTCTCTTTCTTTTCGTCGCTGTGAAATACTACAAGTTGCAAAGATTGGTGGTGGTGAAAAGAATTATCAAGCAGTCTTCTTCTCGTGGTGCAGTGTCGCTCTCGTGGTGTAGTGTGTGGAGTGGTGCAGTACGTGTGTTGCTTCCGTGCGTATTCGAATAAACCTTCAAATAAAACCCTAAAATAAAAAATGTAACATTTAAACGGAGGTGACATCCTTCAACAGATGTCAACATCCATTTAAGGTAAAACGGATGTCAACATCCATTTAAGGTAAAATAGATGTCTGGTAAAATGGATGTTGACATCCGAAGGATGTCACCTTCGTTTAAATGTTACGTTTTTTATTTTAGGGTTTGTTTTATTAGTTTATTCTTTATTTTTGAAATATTTTAATAATTTAATTTAAATGTTTTGATTTATTATTTTTGAATATATTTTTAATGTATTTTAATAATGTAAGGAAAATGAAGAAGAAAGAAACGTAGGAGTAGAAGTGAAATGGAGAAGACAAATGGGGTTGCAGAGTAAAACGGAAGACAAATTGTTAAAGGGAAATGAGAGATGAAAAGATTGGATGCAGAGAGTAAAGTAGGAGTAAAAAATTTTAATCTGAAAATATAATTGAAATTAAAAAAAATTGGAAAGGTGAAGGGAGAAAGGTGTGGTGGTGGAGGGAGCAACACCCCCTCAACAAAATAGCGACCAGCCCATTCCATATAACAAGGGAGGTCCATTTTTACAACCCCACTCCTTTTTAGCTGTTGTTGCTCCTCGCACTCCATTTTTTCGTCTGCATCCTAGAGTCTTTGAAATACCACTTATACCCTTATAAAAAAATAAAGTCGAAGTGTATTTGGTTTGTTGGAGTGTTTTTGTTGTGTTGTGAAGGTTGTGGTATACGTTTGGGTGGTAGCTGGTGCTGCTTAGTGGTGGTGGTGCTTGTCTATGGTGAGAGGTAATTATATTTCATTCAGTCATGATGATCGTTGTTTTTCATTTTTTTTAATTTAGTTTTAAATGATGTAATTTTAAGATATCTCAAATTATACAATTTAAAAATATAAAATTATTCAATTTGAAATGGAAAATTTATATTTTGATTATACATATATATTGTTAAGTTGTGAAAGTGATGCCAAATATATGAAATAGAAAGACGATTTGGAGGTCACTGAGACAATAAAAGTGTGATTTAAATTGCTAATTGACTATTGAGAAAGTGGGGGGTAACCAGCACAAGTTGGATAAACTACCTTCTCTTCACTCGCCCCTTTATAGCTTGAGTCACATCAATGACAATTTTATAGCAGAGCAAAGATAACACGCTTCTTATTAACTTTATAAATTAAAAGGTAATAGAAAGGTTGAGATTCGATATTGAAACACCAAAAAATTTATATGCTCTAAGTCAACATTAGAAATGGTCCAACAAGCAACCAATTTGTGATCCTTTCATAAATTTTGTAACCCACACGTATAACTTCAATCACTTTCTCTTCAAATTTTCATTCAATGATATTCAGATTAAATGCTATGCTCCTTCGTCATACTTTCAAATTTACCACTTTAGTATTCAACAAATTGCAATAGGTCATGTTTATGTAACAGTTACAATGAGTTAGTGTCGTGCAGGGTTCAATTAGGTAATCCATATTTTATTTCAAGACTTTTTCTATTATTATTGTATTTATTTTAGTTTGAGTATTCTTTAAGACGGTTAGGTTTCAGATTGAACTTCTTAAACTTTTTAAAATTGTTATAGATAGGTCTATACATATAATTTAAAATTCGCATAAGTTTTCATTCTCTGTAGTAAGTATCTATGCATAACAACAAATAATGAATATAATTATAACTATATTACCATAATAAATAAAAAAACATTTCATTATCAAAATATAAAGAATGTAGTGAAGTATGTAAATAAAAATAATTCGTTTTTTAATTATATGACGACTGGTGAACTAAGAATCAAACGGTTAACTATCCAATGATCAAGCAGTCTAGAAATCATTAATTGATAATTATTCTGAACAATAACAATTATAAATAAGCAATTAAGAAGAATAATAATCATTAATTAAAATTAATAAAAATAATATTGATCATTAATAAGTTAGACAAAACAGTAAGCTTATTGTAATATTTATAAATATATATCTTAATGGAAGACTTGGTAATTAATTCTTATTATTAATTTTTATTACAAGATTAGTATATTAACTTGGATAATTGAACACATCTGATAAGTATAACTTTAAGCAAAGGATCTCAACGTCTTATCCAAAAGTATTTTCATTAATATTACAATTATACACCGAAAATACTTTCAATTTTTGTATTATAATGACTCATTAGGAATAGTTTATTATCTGTCGAAAAAAAAATTGGTTGATGAAGTGCAAAGGGTAGAAGAGATAAAAAAAAATTGTGTAAAAAAAAACATAGAAAATTAATCCAACGATTAATTGCTATAAATATTTCTTCTATCTCAAGATTAAAACCCACGCCCATTAAATTATCATACACATTCAGTAAGTCAAATAAAAAACAATAAAGTGCATACTTCCAACAATCAAATTCTTAACATTTCTTAATTCGACAGCCTAATAACTTGCTGATATGAAAAAGCACATAAATAATATATTGCTGGCTCTCACGCCACCTAACATGTTTAATCTGTCACAAATTAATAAAATCATATATGGATCATTGTTAATATTTTTTATAATTCAAGATGATTCGAAAGTTATATATATATATTAGATAATAAAAAGTAACATGAACAATTTTTTTAGGGTAAAAGTAATGTTATAATCTCTTATATAAATTTATTTAATTATCATTCTCAATCTTTTTTCAATTTAGAAAAGAGTATAGAATAAAATAGGTGAAAATTTCTAAAATGGTATGATTATAAAATGGCTGTACAATTAAATAGTCACCGATAAACTACTCACTTGAGGGATGTCTGGTAGTGAAGGAAGGATATTTAAAAAGATAATTGTAATTCATAAATATATCTTTTATTTATTTTGATTATTTTGTTGTTGTAGTATTATAATATGGGATATAATTAAGACAGTAACGAGAACCTTAATGAGAACAAGACACACGGTACGAGGCCATATATAGTAAGTGAAAACCCTAGCGTAAACCTCGGATGAACAGCGCAATTAAGGATCACACATGGCTTTTATTCAAACATTTTTTGAATCCGACCTAACGTGAAGCTCACTTGTGAAACTCTATTTTGATCCCTCCAATGGTGACATGCCCCTTCCCAAACTTGGGCACCAGAGTCACCAACACATGCTCATCATCTTCAGCTCCCAAATCCTCCAATAACTCACTTATCCCAAGCCTCAAGTTCGTCTTCGTCTTCCTGTGTTTGTGCTTGTGCTTATGAGCCACACTCACAAAGCTCCCTGCAAACTCAGCCTTACTTGGCCCACCTGCCACATCGTCTTCGTCGTTAATATACACATCAAACTTCACACCCACATCCCTCTCAAACTCAATCCCTTCTATCACCAGCACCTCCTCCTCCTCTTCCTTTTCCTTCTCTTTCCTACCTCTCTTTGGTCTCTTCACCATGCTGCTCACACTCGAATCCAAAACCACGGGAAACTTGGTTGTTTTGGAAGTCTCAGCAGCCAGTGCTGCACCACCACCAAAACTCATTGCAACTGCTCTTCGCAGACGCGGTGTTGGTTTAGCTTCTAACCACGGAACGTCAACGTCTTGGTACACATATCCAAGCTTTCTAGTATCAAGACAATCTTTCACCTTCACACGAATTAGGTTTTTGTTCTCGTCGTAGAAAAGAAACCCAGATTCCAACCAATCGGGGTCTGTGATATCACTTCTCTTTCCTCCAAGGGTTTTCCATACGGACCACATCCTATCCACATTAGCGTGGTGAGAAAAGAAAACAGGATCTCTTGCTGCAGAATAGAGAGTCCCCATGTCCTCCAAGTTAGGTTGCGTGTTATCACCGGTCCATACATGAACAGGACCGTGCGGAATGTTTTCCACAGTGCCACCACCGGGATCACTGTCCTCTCCTGCACGATAAGCGCCACCGAAGAAGAGCGTCGGAGTCTTTGAACTCGACACGACTTGCCGGTACATGGTGGTGAGATTGGTAGATATTTGCTGTTGAGTTGAGCCTTTGTCTTCCACCCCGTTATAGTCTAGGTCAACGAGTTTTGGTGGTTTATGGTTTAGGTTTCGGAGGGAGTCATAAAGTGGTGACTTGGGATTAGTGTAGATGGCAGGGATTGGCATGCCATTGGGGGAATCCCAGTTCCAAAATGGAAGGGCAAAATTTGGGTCAAGATCCTTGATCAAGCTTCTCAAGATTTTCTCATAGAAATAGAGGTACCAACGGTGAAAGGGGAAAAAGAGCCAAGAGCCGTGAACTTGGAGATCAAGGTCAGGGAACCCAACTTGGTGATATGCACCATCACAATAAGCACAGTGGATGTTTGCCTGTTGGGTGAAATTGCGTGGATCGTTGAGAGGCAAGGCTTTCATGCGACGAAGGGCTTCTTCGTAGTTGCGGAGGTAAGTGGCGTCAACCAAATGAGCAGCGGGTCTAACCTTAACTTGGGTGTTCTTCGGAAATGCGAAGTCTATGATGTTTGAGGAAATTGGGGGGCAACAGTTGGTCGGTTTGGCACCAGAGGGAAGGTCAGGTGGACCACATTTGATTAACTCTGGTGGTGAGATAGGAGCTGCAAGGGACAATGTGTCGCTGCTAAGGGTACCATAAAGGCTTCCCATGCCAATCAGTACGTTTCTTCTGTCGAACACCAAGGCCTCTTCTTTCTGGTTTTCTGGGTCACCATCACCACCCTTTGTAGCTTTGCATGACACTCTTAACTTTGCAACTTTTGGGACCTTCAAATTGTGATTTCTGAATAAGATAACGGAAGAAGAGTGGTTTGAAATGGAAAAGTGTGGAGAATATAGAGAAGCCATGAATATATGTAGATCAACTTTATTGTGCGCTTAGAGCTTGGGAAATCCCTCTCGTTTTATAACTAAGTTATGTAGACTATTCTCTTCTCTTTCGTGATCAAAATAAGATAAATATATTGAAGATTAACGTGGCGTCAGTTAATAATCACGTGATCAACTCGTATTATTTTTTATTATCTTTCTAGTAATTTCCATTGCCGTGCGAGTCACTATTATCTTCCCTCACGAATCCATAAACAAATTAATAAACAATAACGATGATGGCCAAACTTTACTATGAGGTATAATAAATACTCCTATTTGTATTTTTTTTATTAGTGTTTTGCACATGGTCAGAAATTTTGGATCCTCTGCATGATCAATCTCGAGACACCCATTTTCCATGAAATAGTATGCAAACATCACAAGGAACATTTCTTTTCTTTTCAGAAACAGTTTGTTTTATAACTTATAGCATTTATATGTAACTGGTTAAGAAATATAATTTAAAAATAATAAAATGAGTTTGTACCTTTGGATATATTAAATTAAATGATATGTTTAACCAACACAAATCAAACTCTAATTCATAATTTTGATATAATGTTAAAAAGTAAATTTTAAATCTAAATTAATCTTACAAAATTAGTTTTTAAATACAATTAATTTCAAATGCTATACTTTAGAATAGGTTGAGTTGCCAAATACAATTTAGAGATTTTTTTTTCTTAGAACGTTTTCCTTTTTGCCATTCTTTACCGTTCACAAAATGTTTTCCGAATTATTATTAACAAATTATGTTCATTTTAAATTACACTTACAAAATCACCTAATAAAATAAGAACTACTTTTATTTATTAATTTAAATTAATTTCATTTTTTTTATCAATATAATATCTCTAAAATATCCTCTGTCAAGATATAAATATATTATATGTGAAACTAAACATTTGTAAATAATTCAATAAAGGTTTAATAATAATGATAAAATAAATCCAAACAAATCTTATTAAAATACATTCTACTAATGTATTAAATATAAGATTAAGTTTAATATCCTCACATCAACGTGTGATCTCTAACTACTATTTCTTTAAAATCATTCAAACAATGGAAAAAAGTACACTAAAAATGTTAGATGTGTAATATGTGCCATAATGAGAAAAAAAAACTAAAAGAAATAAAAATGTTGTTGAGATATTTATAAGAATGTTTACTATTAATTTAAGGGCCTTACTTACCACTCAGAGAATTAGTTAAAATATTAGAAAAGTAATTATTGAAAATCATAAAACATGTTAAAAGTTATACGAAAACATATTTTAAAAAATATACTGCAAATATATTTTTTGAGACAAAAACATTCATAATATGTGGAACTAAATATAAAGATAAAAGCATGCATATAGTAGGGACGTTGATTCTCGTTGAATATCTCCTGTAACAACAACACTGTATTGGTTTACAACTTTACATATATTTCTTTCTAAGATATCTTATAGTGTAAGCTCTTTGAAAAATAATCCAATTGTATCATATCAGGGGAGATTTCACCCCTTTGAACCCAATTGTGGTGGTAAATATGAATCAATTTTATAATTTTATAAATGAAAACTATAATTAAAATATGTTTTATAATATATATTTTTAATTAAATTAAATCAGTATCAATATAATATTATACTTTATTAAATATAATTATTATTAATTTTATTAATATATATATATATATATATATATATATACATTTACTAATCAAAGGTATTCCCACGCAGATAATAAAGTTATTTTATTAAGGAAGTGTAATACTAAAAGAGATATATTTCACGCTATTTATTAATATAATGCATATATAATCATGTTTGAGTTGGATATAATATAAGCTTTATCTACATAATTTCAACAGAAAACTATGGATTAAGTTTGAACAAATTATTATTATTATTATTATACAACATGCCAATTTTGTTTTGGTTGGTGGGATGATTGTAATCACCAGCACTGCAGCTTGTTAAGATTAACTATTTATATTAAAACAAAATTAAGATGTTAAAGACTTTATTCTTAACTTTCTTAATCAAACTCTTACGTGGATTTCTTTTATTGGAAATACGGATACATGACGCTATTCGAGTTTGACTTTTGTTTAGTTTTGTATATTGATTATGAGCTTTTTTTTCTTGTGTTTAAATAATTTTTTTAGTTAGACTAATTTCTCCATAAGAATTTTTAGAGAAAAAAAAAATAAAAATACGAAATTATTTTTTTTTATGTTAAATTTAATTTACATACATTAGTTTATAATTTTTTTATGATTTTTCTTTATGTTTACTTTTACTAGTACATAAACTAATTTTATGAGAATGATATGTGAGTTAAACCGGATGGATTGATATGTTAGTCTACCTTAGAAAAAGTGGGATGAACTGGAAAAGTGGATATCAGTCCATCTCATCTTGTAGATTTTATTATTTGTTTCCTTTTAATAATTCATTGTTACGTGGAGTTATTTGAATATTAATATAATTGAATATTTTCATTTGTCATTTTAATAATTCTTTTTTTTATCAGCGTATAGTTTATTTTCTGTTGTTTCCTTTTTTATTTATATTAAATGAGAATATATTTAATATTTATGCTTTTCTCTGCAATTCTCCAGAAAAGATTTAGATTTGGGATTTGGAATTTGGCTAAAAAAATTTAACTTGCTTTAATGAAATAAAACATTACTACATATTTTTTAAATCAATTTCTTATTTCTTATAAAACATCTATATTTTGTAAAATATATATCCTTCATAATTTTATTTATTTTATTCAAATGTTTTATAAAAAAGAAATATAATTGTTATATTTACTAATTTTTACACTTACTATCACATATGCATAGAGCTGCCAAAATGGATAATCCTACTCGATCCGACTCGACTCTCTACGGATTGATCATTTAGTGAGTCAACCCAACTCAACTTACTTATTAGTGAGCTAAAAAAATTCGAACACCCACCACGGGATTGGTGGGTTAAACCGGTTGACTTAGTGTCTCACTTAATTATAAGTTTTTTTTTAATTCAAATCTAAATAAATTTCACTTTAAAATAATGTTAAATTCCAAAGACAATTCAAAATAAAAAATATATATATCATACAATCCAAATGTAATAAAAATACAAACACAAAAACGAACAAATAAATTTTTAATATTGATAATTTTTGTATGACTTATCCATTTCTAATATTAGAGTCTTGAAACATTTTTTTTATCTCATCTACAATATAATAAAAAAATTCTAACTAATAATATTAAAATATAAAATAATAAATAATTAAATTAAATTAGGTGAATTAATGAGTCAACTATAAATTTAATTTGAATGAATCAAATTGAAAACTAATCCACATAAAAAAAAATTATATTTTTTCGAACTCAAGGATCCGTAACAAATCGGACTGACTCATGGGTTAAAATACATTTCTCAGTTTATTTTCTGTATTCTGTATAAACTTAAATTATTATTTCAGTAGCTGATAAAAAAAATTAATGTCGCATGCAGGCTTGACATTTTATTTTTTTTAGCATTTATTTATTTTTTCATTTATTTATTTGGTTAAAAAAATTGTTTTGACGAGTTTAAATTTTACATCTCTAAATAGGGTATACTTTAAATCTAATTTATTTTTAATTACATATTTCACTGTTTATCATTAAACTATTAATTTTAGTTTTATAAAGTCTGAGACATTTTTTTTACACTTTAAATACATTTATAACTAAAAATAAGACACGTCTAATTATCTCTTTTCTATTAAAATATTTGTTATCTATTTTTAAATTATTCTTTTTAATTTGATAAAGCATGAAATTTGATTTTAATTATAGCTTACAATTGATTTAAAAGAATTACCATCAAACTATATTACAGCCTGAGTTTTTAGAAAGTATTAAGGACAAAGAAGTTACGTTCAACCGACCACTGCACACATTTTTCAATGTTATTTTACCTTTGAATCTAGAACATATTGATTTTAACAAAAAAGGTTTTAAGATTATGAAATAAATTTATCCTATGTTTGATTAGTTTATGAAAGAATTTCTTTCAATTACAATTATAATTTATTTTGTATCAATTTTTGTCTTCCTATTAGGTTAAACTTAATATATGAGTAAACTTTACAAGTTTTATAAAATGATTTTTAACTCTCTTACATTATTATATATTTAAAAAACTAATTTAATTATTATTTGTAAATATTAATTTAAAAATATGTGCATGTATAAAATTTAGACCTTTTAAACACTTTTATAATGAACTCGTGAAGATTTTTTTCTTCTTGGATTTGGAATGGTTGATAATACCCTCAAACCAATATCCACAATTTTATAATATACTACAAATTTATAAATAGTTCTACTTTTATTATCAGCTTCGAAATATGGAAAGACGTAAGTACACCTCTGTGTTTCTGTAAGGGCTGAAGGGCCCATTCCCCTCACTCCTTCCAGAAGCCCAAACACAGCTGTTACTCCAGCTCCAGCTGTTGAGAAACCGTTAGAGGAGAGAGCCAAAAGAACCACAAAACAGCCACGTTACCTAAAGGATTATATGGTCACGTGTCCAGCAACCAGTAAGAAGGGGAATTCGGTTAGCAAGAAATGATTGGAATTATTTTGTAATTTTTCCTTTATTTGTTATATGCACATGATCAGTACTGCAAGGCAGAGCCAAGCGCATATATAATACAGTATTGTAATAGAGAGGGTAGGACAATAGATAACAGAAAAATTCCCTCTGAAATTTTCTCTCTTCATCTCTGAATATTCTCTTTCCTCTGCCATCACCCTTTTCTATTTCCTGCAGCATCCTTACAGTTTCCTAATAAGAGCTTTGTAATCCTTAACTCTTTCAATCTCTCCACGGTCATTACCTTTTATATTCCAATCTACTAATTATAATATCTCTTTTTTTATCAAGCAAACCCTAATGGACCAAAATAACAGAAAACCCTAATTGAGTAAAGTAATTGAAGGATTGCAGCTGGAAACTGACTTATTAAATGAAACATATA